GCCGCGGCGCGGCCTGGCGGCGGCGGAGGAGCAGGAGGAGGCGGTGGCGGCGGAGGAGGCGGCGGCGACGGCGGCGCCAGCGGCGAAGGATGCAGCGGCGGAGGAGGGGGCGGAGGCGGCGGAGGCGGCGGAGGCGGCGGAGGAGGCGGCGGCGGCGTCACCTCCGGCAAAGCGGCTGGCCAAGGCGGCTGTCGTGGCGCCGCCCGCCTCTCCTGCGGCGTCGCCGCGCCGTGTGGTGAGATTAGCCGAGAGGTAGCCGAGAGGTAGCCGAGAGGTGCCGAGAGGTAGCCGAGAGGTAGCCGAGAGGTGCCGAGAGGTGCCGAGATTAGCCGAGATTAGCCGAGATTAGCCGAGATTAGCCGAGATTAGCCGAGATTAGCCGAGATTAGCCGAGATTAGCCGGGATGCGTACAGCGTCGCGCCGTTGGTGGTGCCGAGCTGTGAAGGGCGTCTCTTCACAGCTCGGTGTGCGAGAGAGCAGGCGGCGACGCGCGCCTCGCCGCGGCTGAGCTCCTCGAGGCTGCCTGAGCGGGCAGAGCCAGCACCCCTCTCGCTGGCGCCGGTCCCGGAGGCGGCGGAGGCGGCGGAGGCGGCGGAGGCGGCGGAGGCGGCGGAGGCGGCGGAGGCGGCGGAGGCGGCGGAGGAGGCGGAGGAGGCGGAGGAGGCGGAGGAGGCGGAGGAGGAGTCGGTGGCGGTGGCGGCGGCGAGCGGAGGGAAGAAGCGGCGTCGCGGCGCGGTGCGCGCGCGCCTCTCGGCGCATCTCGGCGCATCTCGGCGCCTCTCGGCGCCTCTCGGCGCCTCTCGGCGCATCTCGGCGCATCTCGGCGCATCTCGGCGCATCTCGGAGGGCCGATCCTCGCGATCACTCTCTCCCCGCCCAGGCGCGCGCCGCGTCGTCGGCGGGCGACGCTGCGACGGAGGAGGGGGGGGCGGCGGCGCCAGAGTCGGCGGCGGAAGGCCCGAAGGAGGGCAAGACAGCCAAGGGCCCCGGGGGCAGCAAGGCCGCGGCCAAGCCCGCCGCCGCGGCCAAGCCCGCCGCCGCGGCCAAGCCCGCCGCCGCGGCCAAGCCCGCCGCCGCGGCCAAGCCCGCCGCCGCGGCCAAGCCCGCCGCCAAGGCGGCCGAGGCGGCGGCGGGCGAGGCGGCGGAGGAGAAGCGACTCAAGGCGCTCAAGGTGGTGCAGCTGCGCGCCGAGTGCGAGCGGCTCGGGCTTAGCAGCGGCGGACTCAAGGCGGAGCTCGTCGCTCGACTCCTCGCCGCGGCCTGAGCGTCCGCCCGTTCTCACTGGGAGAGGCCTAGCGGCAGCCGCATAGAAGTTAGAAGTGCGCGCGGCCGTGGGTACCGGTTGAGCACCGTGTGTTTCCCTCCCTCGCCCCCAGCGCCCATGCAAGAAGCAAGCCAATAAAACTTGGAGGTCGTCAACAGTACGGCTCTAAGTGAATCCCCTCGCTGCGTAAGAGGCTTCGAGGGCTAACTTGTAACGTCTGTGAGCGGCGATGCAGTCCGGCCGCGCCTGTGTGACTCGCGCCGCTCGAGAGCCCGCGCACACGATGTGACATGTGTGTGCGTCCGGGCGCTGCCGCTTGCTCAACGAAAGTTGCCCTGCGGCACATTATTGGTATAACCAGTGTCACTTACACCTCTCGCTATGCCTGTGGCACCTCGGTACATGTATTGGCACCGACGCAGAAACGCTCTCTACGCGAGAGTTCTCGTCTTCCGTACGCTGCGATGCTGCTTGGGCACCCGCCACGAGGTCGTGCCTGGGTCCTCGTGGGGGGTCCTCGTGGGGGTCCTCGTGGGGGGCCCGAGGGTCTTCTCACCTGATGGGGGGTCTCCGTAGAGGGTCTTCTCACCTGATGGGGGGTCTCCGTAGAGGGTCTTCTCACCTGATGGGGGGTCTCCGTAGAGGGTCTTCTCACCTGATGGGGGGTCTCCGTAGAGGGTCTTCTCACCTGATGGGGGGTCTCCGTAGAGGGTCTTCTCACCTGATGGGGGGTCTGGGGAGGCGGGGAGGGGGCGCAGGAGCCCGCCCCCCGCCCCAAGGCCTCGCAACGATTCAAGGCGCTTGCTGAGCGCTCCGCGCCGCTTTACCCACCGCCAAGTCGGGAATACCTCCTTCGAATGAGGGCCTCACGTAACGCAAGGAAGCCGCACCACGGCCGCCGCTGATGAGAGCGCTGCCTCTGCTGTGACAATGGCAGGCGCAGAGCTGTCGGCCTCGGCCACCGGAGGAAAGCGGAGGCGCCGGCCTTACTTTGTTTCGCGCCGCAAGAGGCGGCCCGACTACGCCGACGGCCGAGCCGGTGGCAGCGGAAGCGGAGCAGGCACCACGGAAAGAGAGCTGCGAGACCTCGAGGCGGCAGATCAGATCGCGGACCTCGAGGCGGCGCTACTGCCGCGTGGGCCCGTAGCGGCACATGGCTCCGAGGCAAAGCGCGATGAGGGCGGTATCGCTTTGCCAGCACCTTGCTCCGAGGCAAGGCGCGCTGAGGGCGGCATTGCTTCGCCGGCAGCAGCTTCTAAGCATGCGACGGGTTTCGGCAAACCATTCGCGAGTCTCGGGACCACCTTTTTTGGACGGAACGCGACATTTGAGCCGGCAGGGATGCCTCGCACCGCTCCCGCTGGGGCGCCCCTTGCTGTTGTCGAAGCGCAATCTGAGCTCATGCTTTTAGTGCCCCCTCCTATGCCGCCACGTGAGCCACGGGCAAGGGGCGCCGAGGTCCCGGCGTACCGGTCTGTCGGGCCTCTGCCAACCGGAGAGACGCAGCGCCGCTGCAACGACCTCGAGCTAATCCTGGTGGGGCAGAGCGTGCTCGTTGTGCTCCTTGCGCGCGCGTGGACCGACATGGGCCTCTTCTTCCACGCTCACGTGTTTGCTGATGCCGTGGGTACCTGCATCTTCCATCTGCACCACATCGCAGTCGTGCTCTGTCTCGGCACGCTCGTCAACCAGGTGGTGATCTCGAGACTTGCGCCGCCTGACCCAGGACTATCCCTCGCGCCCGCCACGGTGGGCATGTCGATGGGCGGCACCATCGCCCCCGCCGCGCTGCAGTGCAAGGATGAGAGCGAAGTGATGGGCGAGGCCTACGCGCCGCTCTATCTGGCGTTCGCGGTTGCGCTCTTCGCGTTGCTCGTCGAGTTGAAGCGGAGGCTTGCGACGACCCCAGCGTCATCCCTCACGCGGAGGTACATGATCGGCTTCACCGAGCTCGCCTCCAACTTCCTCGCCCTCTCCGCGGCCGCCACCCTCAACGCGACCACAAAGGCGAACATCGCTTTCAATGCCAAGGAGTACCTCGCCGCCGTTGTTGGCGGCGGCGTGCAGTCGCCGCGCCTCCCGGACCCCGTGCTCTGCCAGGCTCTGTGGGCGTTGGCGGCGTTCCTGATCCTGCCGAGCTTCCTGGCTGCTATAGCGCCGCTGCTTGCGTCGAGGCTGTCGATACTCAACTTTGCAATCAGGCTCTGCGCCTTCTACTCCGCCTTTCAAATTCTGAACGCCGTGCCGACAGCAATCGCCGAGGCGCAGCACACCACGGTCACCATCTCCAGCAGCGACGCACCGCTCGCGCACAAGGCCGCGCTGGCGCTAGGTATGGCGGCGCTGCTTGCGCTGACGCGATCACTTATGCTTTCAGGGCAGCGGGCCTCGCTCGAGGAAGTCTCGAAGGGCGCCAAGGACGGCCTCGATCGCGAGGAGATCGAGCAGGCTCGAGAGGCCTTCTTGGAGCATACGATGGGGCTGTCGCTCGGTTGGAGCTGGCACCCATTTGTCAAGGCGTGCTTCGTCGCCGCCTGCGAAGCTGTCTCGAGCCAGGGCGAGGCGGTGGAAACGGTGGGCGTCGTGCTTTACACCGTCGTTGCTACACTGCTGGTGTATCAGCTCTACTCTGCCCTCTGGAGAGCCGCGGCGGACCGCACATCGAAAACGGACAGCGCGGCAGACGCTGGCTTCACTGCCGGCGACGCTGCGGACGCGCACGTCGGCGATCATGGCGACGCGGGATGATACTAGACGGCGCTCTGAGTTCTGCGCGTCGCTCTCCGTCATTATTTTTGTGTCGTGTGTGCTGCTCCATTCGGCATATCTTGCTCGAGGAAGTGCCATCTATCGTACACGAAAACGCCGATCCCATGCCATCCATCTCCTGGAAAGCTCGTCAAAAAACACAATCCACCTTTGCGATGTCGACCACGCCCTCACACCTACCTGCCTGGTCGAAGCCGCAGAGGCGGAGACGTCCGTTGTCAGATGGCTCATCATAGTGCCGGACGCACGCGGCCAGTTCCACGCCCCAGCAATCATCAACTTTCGAACGGCACGGGGGCGACGTGGAGGGTGGAGGTGACGACGGGGATGGCGGCGGCTGCGACTCCTCTCTGTTGCAGTACCGCCACGTGAAGCTGTTGGCGCTACTAGAGAAGGTCTCGGCGTCCCTGCAGCTCGCCGAGACCACGCAATAGCCCGCGGAGATGGCTGTCGCCCCTGTACACTCGGAGGTGCAAGAGCAATCGTCCGGACGCGTCGGTGGGGCGGTCGGAGGTGGCAAGAGCGGCGGCGGCGGCGTGGGACGCACCGCAGCGGAGGGTGACCAGCCTCAGACGGTACGATGCATTGATATATGGGTCCTATTTTGGTGTGTGCACGCTATTTACTAACTTAGAGTTGTCTGAACCAGTGTGCAATCTTTACCGGTATGAGACTGGTATTTGGCGATATTTTGATTAGTTTTGGAGTGGTATGGTATAGTGGTATGCGAAAGTGGTATGCGGGGTTTTAAGTAGTTGTAGCGGCTGTCGGTGTGGTCCCGGGGGCGAAACCATGCAAAAGTGCGGGTATTACCCGGGTATACCCGGGTTTTTCCAGGTATACCCGCAAAATACCCGGTATTTTGCCGATTTTGCCGATTTTGCCACCAAGAAGGCACTCCGACTCGCTTTGATTTCCGTGAGGCAACTGGTATCCCGTACCACTTTTTGATTATAGTGCAGGCCTTGGGTTTGATTAGCCAAAAACTCCCATACCGGTAAAGATTGCACACTGGTCTGAACCCACCTCGGGGCGCACAAACATGGATGGAGAAATGACTATTGTTTTGTACGGCAACCACATCAGTCGTTGCTGTTGCATTCCATCGCGCACGGCGTTGGCCACCGCCCACCTCGACCGTGCGGGGGCCTTCGTGCGAACAACAATACACGGCCATAACGATTCATGTGTTGCGTTGTAGCTGCCTGGGCCCAAGCATCGGGGAGATCCGGTGAAATTCGCGCGGGGCGGCGGCCTGAGGACCTCTCCGCTGCGTGCGAGGACCTCTCCTGGCTGCATGACAGGGACCTCTCGCTCAACCTCACACTTCGCATTGTGTGTCCAGGACCTCTATAGAGAGGCGGGCAACGGAAGTCGCACCTCTCGGACGGTATGCCCCGTCACGGTTGGGCTCTTTAAGGCCGTCACACCGAAGGTCCACATTAACAAGAGGTCCTCAGCCTACAGGCGGACTGAGCAAAAGGTCCTCAGACGAAGGTCCTCACGAAAGAGGTCCTCAGCACGAGTCAGAGACGGTCTCAAGCAAGTGTAGTCTGTGGCTGTCGGACTGACTGAGGCTGCTATGTGGCAGCGCTATAGGCCGCTGCACGCGCGGTGGGACGCAGCGGAGGGTGACCGGCCTCAGCGTGACGCACCCAAACAGAGTAACCCTCAAACACTCGGGATGTGGACGGTACGTGGTAAGATGTGATATGTGGGTGGTATTTTGGTTGCATGGAATGTGCGTATTCACACCTGCTGCCTGCGGCATTTCTTTTTTGAGAGCGCCTTCGTTGTTAATAGTACAAACCCAATGGTCCCTTTCAAGCGGTCCTTCGTTGCAGTCGCGCACACGCACCCGCCATGCCGCACCGCGCGCCCGCCCACCGCCCCGCCCAGGCGGGAAAGAGATGTCAGATGAGGAGATGGGACAGCAAAGGAGGAGCACGAGCACGTATGGGAGGGTTCAGTTGTGCGCCACGCTGCCCGGCGTCTCTCACTTTCCGGGACAGCCCCGCCCTTTTGAGGCAGGAGAGTGACGGCTACCCCGTACGCACCTGTCGCTCTACCCCGACGCCTTTCTCCCTTTCCCCCGCCCTCCAGGCCGCCTCCTTCGCCAACGAGGCCCGCAACCAGGTGCAACCTCCCGAGATCTCCCGAGATCTCCCGAGATCTCCCGAGATCTCCCGCAATCAGGCCCGCAGCCAGGTGCCGCTCTCCCACGCCGCACTTGGCCTTTGAATGCCGTGGGCTGAGGCGTGGCCCGCCTACCGTTTGGTAGACGAGTCTACCGCGGTCCACCAAGTCTACCGGTAGACCGGTGACCTATGTTGGGGGTACGGTCTACCAGTAGACTGCGGTAGATTCGTCTACCAAACGGTCTACGGGCTACCCGGTCTGCCGGTCCGGCGCCACCCCTCAGGCCCTGGGGCTCCTGCCCGTGACTTTGTGTGGTGGAGATGCGAGGCCTGCCGTGACCTAGCCCCACCACGTTGTGCGTACCTCACCTTAGGTGCCGGCGCGCTGGCTGGGGTACTTTCAGCAGCGCGCGAGAGAGGAGGCAGCAGAGCTTGCGCGGCGGCGCGGCCCGCCTGCGGACCCTGAGGTGCTGCAGGCGGCACTGGACGCGGTGGCGAGTTAGCTGAGTTTGGATTTCGAGTCGATTTCTTTATGTGTCGCGGCCTGTTGAGGACGAGATTCGTTTCCCGAATTCTCTTATCCCCTTGAGCAGCGTTCCCCGCGTAGTATCCTCCTTACACGTTACACCCGCCGCGCACGCTCAACGTGCACTGGGACTCTCGCGGAGCGGTGAGGGTGGACTTTCATCTTCAAGTTTTGACTTTTGTGGGGGCCATCCGGCTTACACGTTTTATCTGCGTTCTCCAGGTGCCTTTCGCGTTTCGGTGTACGCGATCGTGCATCTCGACTCTCTCATGTCTCAATCAAAATATCAAAATATATCTCACCAAAGTTAAAGCGGATTGGAAGTCACGTTGGACGTTCGTGGACGTTGTAGCTGCATGGCATGTCAGCGGTGCCACGGTATGAAATCGGCATTCATCGCCAGGCACGAAGGAGCACACGCTCGCTCGGCGAACGAATAAAGTTCTGTGGGACTGCAACTTTCAGCACTCACCGCTTGTTCTTTGGCGGGTTGAGCTTATTCTCCTGCTTTTCGAGCATCGAGTCGAAAGTGCGCGCCTGAGAGCCGCGACGACGCAGTTCAGCGGTCGATGGCAGGGCTTTGTCAGATCTCTGGGCAGCCATTGCACCGAGACCATGCCGTCGCGGTCATAGTCGGCAAGATCGAACCAGTCGTTGACGTCCTTGAGCCGTTTGAGGCCAAGCCGCTCCTTGAACTCGGGGCCGTGCGCCTTGATCGCAGTCTTCATGTCGCGCTTCGACACCTGTCCTTGATGCCTTGAAAGTCACAGCAGTGTCTCTGATGGGGCGTGTCTGGTGCTGTGACAGACAGACCTTGCCATCACCATTCTTGTCGATCGTTGACCAGATAAGTTCAACGGACTGCTTCCGATTCAGCGCCATCGGCGGAACGGGCGGGGGCGCCGTTGGGGCCGCGTCCAATACCTGAGACCCCTCCGGAATCGGGGCAGATGGCGCCGGCCCGGACGGCGCCGGCGGGATGTAGTCGGCTGCTGGAGCAACCGCCGCCGCCTGAGCAGGGAAGGAGGGAGAGTCGCCAGCGTGAGGGCTAATGCATTGCATAGCTGCCGAACACCCTGCCGGGCTTGCTCGCGTAAGGCTAAGGAAGATCGCGCCTGCCCCTCCTCAATCCTGGAATACGACCCGCCTAAGGCCAGGGAGCGGGGGGTGGGGCGGTGTCGGGTGCATGGCCATGGGGTGCTGCAGATGCAGATGCAAAAGGTGAGATGAAGTCTGGGAAAACGCCTGTGTCCTGTATTCTAAAATGTAAAAAAGAAAGGAAGGGAACACACGGTTCGAAAGTGGAGTGGCGGGTGGGGCTCTGGCGTCACAACGGAGAACGGACCGAAAGGCTCGCTCCATCTCGTATCTGACACCCTATCTGGTGGAGTCTGGAGAGCGGCTCGGTTGCGGTCACGCTCACGTCCACAAGACCGGACGCGCGTCACGGCGGGCTGGCGGGCCGCATCGCCTTGGTGCGGTCGGGCTGCCAGATCGGCAGGACGAGCGTGTCGCGCGCCGCCACCACTTGCTCCGGAGGCAGCTCCGCCTCGGCGGCGGCGGCGGCGGCGATGGCGCGCATCATGCCGACGGCGTCGGGCGGGTAGCGCTGCGAGAAGTGCGTGAGCAGCAGAGCGCGCGCGCCTGGCGGAGGTGCAGCCGAGACACAGTCGAGGAAGGAGGGGGGGGGGGGGGGGCGGAAGCCCCCCCCAGGTGCACCCAAAATGGGGCGAGACCCACCCAGGCGCACCCAAAATGCAGCGAACTATGCTGCCAAAATGCACCCCGGGAGGAGCGCGCG